AGCGCGGAGAGCGGCGAGTGGCCGCCGTGTCATCAGCGGCGGGGTCACCCCCCTTAGTCGGGTCAGAGGAGTCAGAAGAGATCTCCAGAGGCTCAAACAGGGAGGGTGGGTCTACCTGAGACACACCTGAGGGAGCAGGACCCTGTAGGGGGAGGGGGTCTACCGGGGGGGGAACTGGTACCAGGAAGAGAGGCGTAAGGGGGACCGGGTGGGACACGTGCGGGTGGAGTCTGTAGAAACAGATCGACTCGTCAAAGGTGACATCTTGGGAGGAGAACACGCGACGCGAGCGAGAGTAGTAAAACTGCCACGACTGGGCGTCGGTGGGGAAGGCCAGGAAGGTGGAGCGGAGAGTGCGAGGAGAGAGCTTGCTCGCGGTGGTATCGCGAACAAGGGAGAGCGCGCCCCAGACCCGAAAGACCGACGCATCGCCAACCTCTCCCGTCCAACGGAGTGTGGGCGAGGTCTCTGGCAAAGAGACACGCGGCCAGAGGTTGAGCTGATGCGCGGCGTATCTTACCGAAAACGGCCACAGAAAATGGGGAGCAGGCGCATGGATCATGGAGGTACGAACGACCTCCATAACCAAGCCAATGCGACGCTCAGCAATCCCATTTTGCTGCGGAGAGGGCGGAAGCGTGAACGACTGGATGATGCCCTCGTCTCGACAGAACTCCGCAAGGAGGCCGGAAGAGAACCCACCGCCCCTGTCAGAGTGCAGACGCTGACGTCCGCCTTGCTGCGCAAGGGGAAGACCGTGGTGTAGCGCGTGTAGTCGTCAACGACCAGCAGGAAGTAGCGCTCCTGGTCCGTCCCACTGACGGGGGCCGGGCCCCACACGTCCATGTTGAGAGTCTGCAGAGGATCAGTGGTCGGAGGAAACGAGGAGGAGTGAGGAGCAGCACGCTGCCGCCCCTCGACGCAGGGAAGGCACGGCGGGGCAGGCAGGCGCGGGAGGGAGGGCAGGGACCTGGGGAGGCCAGAGACAGGGAGACGGGAGTGCATGCTGCGGAGAGGCGGTAGAGAGGAGTGACCGAGTCGGTGGTGCCAGAGAAGAGTCTGGTGGGAGAGTACCTGACACGAGCACGACGCATTGAACGAAGGACTCGAGTTCTGTACGTTGACAACAAGGCCATGGTTCCCTCGTGTCAGGAGCAAATACTGGAGCACAGAACGAAGCACATTGCCCTTCGCTACTTTCTCGTGCGAGTGTTGCAGCAGCATCGCCAGCTTCATCTTCGTTACGTGGCCTCTGAGGCCAACACTGCAGACATTTTCACCAAGGCCTTTGGTCCTGGTGACCATCATTGTTTCTGCACTGCTCTAAGCCTAGTGCCTACTCAGCCTCACTTGCTTCCCTCTTGACTTTGCCTTGTACTTTGATATATATAACTATACATGCATGTATACTCTTGCTTGGTTGTGATTATTGTACTGATTGTACTATTATTACACTTCAGGTGAACTAACCTTGTGGCCACTTGCTTGTGCTCGGACTGTGTAGTGCTCTTGAGATCCACACTAAGCGTTGCTTTGTTTCTTCTCTTGACTGATTTTGTGACCATCTGTTGTTCTTGCTATATTATGTACAAACATATTTATATGTTATTATTTAGGCTATAGTGAGGTTAGCTATAGGGGGTATGATTTCTAGGGTTTACTATTTGTACCCGGTCACATTCATTCCACTCTTTCTTAGTTCAACAAGAGCTGCCGGATGAGTGGGACCAGGAGGAGGAGTGGGAGTGAGGACCACGGGAGGTGAGGGAACTGGGGTGCCGTGTCAAATCACATACTTGTATTTAGTAATGTAGGCTATGTAGGGTTACTCTATAGAGGGTACACATTTGCATATACTCTTATAAAACCCTCATTTTAGTCAATATGTTCAATACTCTTCTTTTCAGGGTTATAGTAGGTTAGGTCTACGCTTCCGCCATGCCTACCCTAGTTTCCCGCAGGCCCTGGTCCGTTCGTCTTCAATACGTCCCTTAGCCACCCAGGTTTAGCGCGCCCTCAAGTGGCCTTTGTCATCCTCCTGGACCGCCCGATTCTTCCCTAGCATCGTCCCTAGCGCGCCTGTTGACCCCCAGCCCACCTCTTTAACTGATGCGCCCCACCCTAGACCCGTCGCGGCCCGCCCCTGGACCGTCGCGACCTACCCTAGGCCCGTCGCGCACCACCTTAGTGACTCCGCTAGCCTCGCTCGTCGCGCCCCCACAGCCTGCTGCCCAAGCATGCCGCCGGTGAGATCTTAGCCACGTCGCATCCTACCACTCTTGTTGCTAACCCAACTGCAGACCAGTGGTAGACCTACAACCTGGCTCGCATGGAGTACATGTGCTAGAAGCACGCGACGTAGCAGCACAACTCGCCATTGTTAAATGAGGTGACAACGGCAAAGGAGGTCTTGGATGTTGTTATCACTTGGTATTCCACTCCTTCTATTGCTACTCCAGGCTGCCCATCATGCCCTTCCTCTTTCCTAACCTCCACGTGTTCCACGTTGTCGCTGATCTGATCACGCACCTGCGCTCGATCGACTCTAGGTTTTGCGCTAAGATCAGCAGATGGTGGGCTCCTTGCGCTTCATCATGAATAGGGGAAAACTCAACTATGGTGTAGAAGTGTCCACCGCCACGACACCATGCTGTAGGCAAAGGAATACAGAGAAACACAACTTGAGTTGAAGGACACAAATTTCTCAATCCACATCAGCGTTGTGCTCATTGTTGACAATATGTGTTTCAATCTCCTCTCCACTTCCCAACTCCCAACCTCGGCGTCACCACCAAGTTTCCTGGACGCGAGAAGTTCATGACCTGTACAAATGCTACCATTGGGGCACCTCTTGCCACGTTTTCTCTAGACCCTATGTCAAGTCTTTTCAAGATGCACACTGCATCCACCTAGATTCCTGTGTCTGGCCAGGTAGCTGCGTCGTGCTTGTGTTGGCCACTCATTCACTCACTCGTGTCCGGTAGCACCACTGTCAAGGTCACATGGCTCAACACGGTCTTGTGTCTGGTCTTTCGTCGTCTCTCCCCGGTCTCCCTCTTCGACTGCGCCGCCGTGCATTCCTTGCGTCGAGGGCAGGCAGCGCGCTGTCCCTCGTGTCAATTTGAATTTGTAACACATTTAATTTATAGGCTAGGTTGAGTTGTGCACTAGTGAGTACAGCACCCTGCTAGCTCATCCTGTCGCGCTCCTCAGCATCCGGCCCCGCTAGGCCGCCTCGTGGTGCCTGACTTAGGCCGCTCCGTCGCCCTGCCGTAGCGCCCCTCGCTGACCTCGTTGTTGCGCTTAGCTGGTCTCGTCGTATTTTCCTGCTGGCCTTGTCGTAGCGCCCCTCGCAGCCCCTTGCGAGCCCCTCCCGCCAACCGCTCGCCGCACCAGCAACTCACCGCCCGCAGACTCCCGCAGCTCACCGCCTGTAGCTAACCGCCAGTTCGCCGCCTGTAGCTAACCGACAGCTCGCCACCGGAGCGCTGCCTGTAGCTAACCGCTCGCTCGCCGCCAGCAGCTCGCTCCCCGTGCGCGCCGCGCACTGAAGCACTTACCGCTGCAGCGCGTGCCGCAATGGACGAGCGCTGCTGCCCACCGCTCGCCGCCGCCGCCGTCTGCCGTCTGAGCTGCGCTGCAGCCTACTACCACACATGCCACTACTACTGCTCGTGCGACTGTTGCCGCAGCCTGCCACCAGTGCCACTGCCAGCCGCCCGCACCAGCATCGTGCCCTACTGCCTGTGCCGCTGCTGCCGCCCGTACTGCTTCCTGTTGTCCGTTCCACTGCCAGCTGCCCTCGCCACCAACTTGCCCTGCCCACCCTTGCAGCACGTGCCACCTGTACCCTCCAGCCGTCAGCACTAGCTTGCCGCTCTTGCCGCCCGTGCTCGCTTGCTGCCCGTGCTAACTTGTCGCTGTGCTAGCCTGCCTCTTGTGTCACCGGTGCTGCCCTTGCCGCCCTTGCCACCCAAGCCGCCCTTGCTGCCCGTGCTGCTTCTGCTAGCTTGCTGCCCAAGCCGCCCGTGCCGACCTTTGCCGCCCGTACCACCTATGTCGCATGCCCACACCACCTAGAGACGTGTTCCTACAGTTGCACCCGCATTCCTACCTGCAGTTAGGTTCAACTACTATGGTGACTCCGTCGGTGCTGTGCTTAGATGCGGAGGGGCGAGTGGTAGATTTTTAGTCGTGGTTGCAGGTGTTTTAGCTCTACTTGGAGACCCAGGTCCATCAGGACATCCCCGTTGTTAGGGTTCCTAGTTGTACTGCATGCTATCATAGTGCTCAATTGAGAATGCAATACCGAAACAATTTTTGCGCATGCTCTTATGATCGTACTAATGCACCTACCTTCGATTTCCAATTTGTAAGCACACCCGCTTGTTTTTTCGGCCCGCTATTATATTCACAAAGTTGTGGTGTATATGCAAAATATGCAACCTGCACCTTCTTTACATTTCAATCATTTGTGTTAGAAAAACCTAAAGGTTATTGAAGCATTCCTAAGCTAATGGCAATAGTCACCTGCTCGTACGAAGAATGCGCTGTCACCACTACCGTGTTACACCTGTTACAATCCTAAACAGGACTTAGCGAAGGATCGTCTGAGGGTTGATCGCAGGTAGAAATGTTGCGGCGGAAGGGAGATGGAGGGGGGTAGAGAGGAGAGAGGAGAGGAGGCAAGGAGAGGTGCGCGAGTGACACAGAGGAGAAAGATTGAGGTCATGCATGCGTGGTATGGATTGATAGAAGCTTCTTGTGAGCCATGCCGTGCCGCGTGCGAGCGCATGACAGTGAGAGTGAGGAGGCAGAATGAGATCATGAATGTGCATGCTGAACGAGCTTAGGCATGCAGCGGAGCAAGGTGCATGCAGTGGCGCATGATGCATGCAGTGGCGCATGATGCATGCAGTGGCGCATGGTGCATGCAGTGGCGCACGATGCATGCAGTGGCGCATGATGCATGCAGTGGCGCATGGTGCATGCATGGAGGGCTAGAGGGCGAGGTACACGTACGAAGACCACTTGCTCGCTCGACCCACCCACTGCCAGGCGCTGGGCGCTCCACCCTTGTCCGCAACCTCCCTCTCCGCCCCACCCACTGCCACCCCTTCACCGCGCCACCTCTCCTCCCCCTCTCCCCTGCTCTCCCCCATCACTGCTGAGCGCGCTCCAGCGCCTGGCGACTCCGCCACCCTCTCCGTCACCCGTGCGCCCACCACCAAGCCCCGCAATTCGCGGATGACGCTGCGGAGAGGCAAGCGCGGGCGGGGCAACCTGCGGCATACGTCCCCGCCTGCTTCCCCCCATATCACCCCGGGCAAGCGGAGGCGGGCGGTGGGCAAACTGGGACGGAGGCGCGCACGGTGGGGGCGCGTGGGGAGCAGATGGGGAGAGCGCGAGAGGAGCTGATGGCGGTGGGAGGGTGGCCCTGGCGAGAACGGCGACGAGGACGGCGGAGGTGGCTGGGCGGCGCAGGACGACAGCGCGATGGGCGGGATGGGCGGAGCCCAACATCGCGGCGGAGCGATCGTAATGACCGGAATGATCGGGGCGGAGGACGCCGAAATATTGGGGCGAATTACCTCGCGGGGAAGTATCCTCATTACAGGGTATATTGGTGAAGTGTGAGATTGTCAAATGTAGTAAAACCCGTATTATGTGCTCCACAAAGCAGGAGTCTATGAAGCACTGCACACATTGTGTGTGGTCGATGTTAAGAGTCATTCTGTTCCAGCCCTAATGAGATGACTGCTTTGCTAGGTAAGGAATTCCATGTAACGGACAAGTCTGTGCGTAAAGGTGCCACAAAAATACTTACGTACAAGCAGCCAAGACAAACACAAGCACAAGCACAAGCAGTAAATAACATCTACCAGTTATCATGTGGTTACAAGGCACTAGGAACTAGACATGGTCAGACGGCAGCAGCGGGGGCGGCTGCTCTTTGCTGGGAGGCGAGTGTGCTGATGGCCTCTCCTGCCTCACAGATTCGCGCTGCCGCCTTCCTGCCTGACAGTGTGGCGCCCTCCATGCTGTCTATGTAGTCCTGCCAGGGGGAAGAATGGAAGGAGGGTGGAGGGAGGTGGTTGTGAGAGGATGATGCGAGGGGGATGTGAGAGGGGGATGTTAGAGGAGGATGTGACAGGTGGATGTGAAGGGGATCTGGTGGATTACAGAAATGAGGATGGTAAAGCGACCTGATGAGCGGGTGGAGCCAGGAATGGAATGGGACACAGAGGGGGGAGCGGGGGGACAGGGGGCGTACCTGCTTGGTGTAGGAGCCGGCGAGGAAGAAGTTGGGGACGGGGGTCTTTTGGTCGGGGCGGAACTGGTCGAGGCCGGGAGCCTCGCGGTACAGCGACTGGTTGATCTTCACCACCGAGTGCCACAGCAGTGTCAGCCCGCGCGCTGATGGGAACAGCTCCATCACCTGGCAACGCAGTGGGTGGAGAGAGCAGGGGCAGGGCGAGGGGGAAGGAGGGGGGAGTGGTTGGTTTTAGGAGGAAGCAGGTGGAAAGCATCAGGAACGCATGCAGATTGAGGCGTGAGAATCAAAGCAATCTAGACTGAGGAATGAGAAATGAAACATGTGAATTGGAAAATTGTGGATTGGGGCATGTGGATTGAGGCATGCGGCCTAGAATACTAGCAGAAGTGGAATCCAGGGCACAGGTTGCATGAATGACCTGTTCATTCATCTTGGCGACGATGGCCTCGTTGGTCATGGGCATGTAGGGGTCGGCTGGTGTGATCACCACCCTGCCATGCAGCGACACGATTCATGGAGGACGGGGTGAGTTGAGTAGACGAGAGGAAGCAGGCACAGGGGTTGCCAGGATGACAAGATATTAGATTGGCGAGTATGTGATTGCATGGAGGGAAAACGAATTGATGGGAGCAATGTTGAAGAGGGAGGGATGTGAGGGGCAGACCAAACGAGATGAAGCAGTGCCCAAATGAGTTGCTCAGCATGGCCAGCACAACAAGCAAAGGACGCATGGTGGCGATGGGCAAGGCAGGTGTGGGCGGGGAGGGGGTGAACGCGGGGCGGGGCACTGACTGCATGAGCGAGCCCTGGCCCTCCTTGTAGTAGTCGTCGGGGCTCGTGAGCGCCAGGTCAGCGAAGCATGAGAAGTCCGCATCCGGCGAATAGAGCAGATTGTCCAGCCCTGCCGCCCGCGCCAGCTGCCTGCATGGTGGGGACAAGACAGCACAACACAGGAGCAGAGGGCGGCAGGGGAGGGGTAGAGGCGGTTGCTGGCATGACCAGACGGTGGACTCAGATGAATGATGAGGGCGATGCATGCAGTGGCAGCACAAGGGGCGGGGTGTGCAGGAGGAAGGGCAGAGGGCGCACCTAGAGAGTTCAATGTCATTCATCTCGGTGACCCAGCCATCGTAGCGCAGCTGCACGGTGATGACGGGCACGCCCACCAGCTCGTAGATGTCCCTGAACTGCGCCCACCGCTCCCTCCACTCCCCCGGTACCAGCCTCTTCGCCCCGGGCACGTCCAACGCTGTTGGTACAAGGATGGGAGGAAGCGAGGAGCAGCATGAGAGCGACCGGAGCGCTGACGCAAAGTACAGAGGCAGGACCAGAAAAATGCTTTGTGTGCTTGATTGAATGGCAGACAGGCATGCATCTCTCCTTGTCCCTTCCAATTGCAAAACCCAGCCGGCAGGTCATTCCAGTGCATCAACCTGCCTCCCATGCACCAACCTGCCTCCGATGCACCAACCTGCCTCCCATGCACCAACCTGCCTCCCATGCACCAACCTGCCTCCCATGCACCAACCTGCCTCCCATGCACCAACCTGCCTCCCATGCACCAACCTGCCTCCCATGCACCAACCTGCCTCCCATGCACCAACCTGCCTCCGATGCACCAACCTGCCTCCCATGCACCAACCTGCCTCCCATGCACCAACCTGCCTCCCATGCACCAACCTGCCTCCCATGCACCAACCTGCCTCCCATGCACCAACCTGCCTCCCATGCACCAACCTGCCTCCGATGCACCAACCTGCCTCCCATGCACCAACCTGCCTCCCATGCACCAACCTGCCTCCCATGCACCAACCTGCCTCCCATGCACCAACCTGCCTCCCATGCACCAACCTGCCTCCCATGCACCAACCTGCCTCCCATGCACCAACCTGCCTCCCATGCACCAACCTGCCTCCCATGCACCAACCTGCCTCCCATGCACCAACCTGCCTCCCATGCACCAACCTGCCTCCGATGCACCAACCTGCCTCCCATGCACCAACCTGCCTCCCATGCACCAACCTGCCTCCCATGCATCAACCTGCCTCCCATGCACCAACCTGCCTCCCATGCACGCACCAGCAACATATGCATCTGCAGTCACAATTTGTTCCTTGTCTCCCGCCTGCCACGTAACACAGCAGGCAGCAGTGTAGGGAAGGCAAAGGTTTGTGGCACATGGAATGATAGGCGCACGGCAATGAAGAGCTCAGTTGGCATGGAACGGAAAGCAATGGACTCCACCATGCCACTGCCTGCCTACTCCTGGCCATTACCCCCCCCCTTTCACCCGCATGTCCCACTTGCACCCCCTCGTCCCCACCTGCTTCATGCGCAGGCCAGTGACAACGGTGGAGCCATGAGCGGCGGTGGAGTAGAGCACCTCCTGGCATGGCTGCCGCACGTGGAACCTGCTCACGCACCACGAGGGGCACGTGGAAAGGACAGCACGGTAGTGCGGGTGAGCTCAAGCAAGCCACACCGCTTATCATGCTCCCCTGCCAACCCGCCCACCTTCCCCTCCTCATCCTCCCCACTGCCCCAATGCTGGCCCTCCACAATCCATCTTCGAGGTGCTTGCATGCTTGCTTACATTTCATCCCAACACCTCCCAGCTGAGGATATTATTTGCACACGTCATAAAACTTCCACTGCTTCACTTCACTTTTCGTCTGTTGCTCTTCCACACTCCCCACAAGTGCAAGCCTCCGCAGTGGGTTATGCCGGTGGCTCACCTGCCGCCACGGTCGGTGATGTATTTGGCGATGGGCCCAGCAAGGAAGCGGTCGGGCGAGCCGCAGAGCATGCGCAGCACGGAGGCTTCGGTCTTGGTGGCGAAGAAGGCGAAGATGGTGAGCATGCAGCGCGCGCTGATGTTGTCGCAGTCTATGAACCCCAGCGCGTACGCCACCGGGTCCCACATGCGCTTGATGCTCTCCCTCGTGCCGCCGTGCGACGTGAACCACTCGCTGAAACTCACCTGCTCGCCCCCACGCAGCACAGCGGGGCAGCACAGAGGGGCAGCACAGAGAGGCAGCACAGGCAGATGAGGTCTGTGAATGACTGAAACGACAGCTATTGAAACGGTGGATGATTCCATCCATAGCATTCGCAAACGAGCGTGGCTTTCTCAGCAAGGTGAGAGAGCAAGGACCCGCATAGCCGAGGTGGGGGAGCGAGTGGGTGGGTGGGGTATGGAGATGGAGGGAGGGGGGAGGAGGGGGGCGACGTGTTGGGAGGGAGGGGAGGGGAGGGGAGGGGCGGGGCGTGCCTTGTCGAGGTCGCGGATGTCCTGGAAGGCGCCCTCGGGGTCCACCAGTGCGCGCACCACAGGGCTCGTCGCCAGCGCCAGCGCGTTGAACGCCTTGTCCACCGGCTGCACCGCGCATGGGGGTGGGGGAGGATGCACGGCTGATGATGTGATGAGGACCCCAATGAATCATCAACCCCTGGAAGTCACCCATCATGGAAACAGAGGCGCCGGTCACTGTGCTGCGCAGCCTCACTGGCGAGTGGACTTAATCTATCAAACAAGGGTGCATTTGGGAATGACAGGCAGCAATCAGCGTGCAGTGCAGCGCCAGAGTGGTGGCGGGGAATGAGTGAGGCGTGATAGAGATGCGCGCGGCGAGAGGGGCGGCTGACCGAGAGCTGGTTGGTGGTGAAGAATGCCTTGAGCCCGTGGAAGGGCGCGCCCGTTATGAACCGGAAGTCCAGCTCTGTGCACGCCATGCCATGCCATGCCATGCCATGCCATGCCATGCCATGCCATGCCACACGGACGCGTGGAGAGGGGGAGCGGGATGGGGGCCGGACCGTGAGGGTTGAGAAAACGAGGATAAAAATGGAAACCAGCTGGACGGAGAGAGAAGAAAGAAGGCGCGTGTGGTGCTTGGAACAGCATCTCCAGTGCAAACTAGCGTGGGTGACGGCAGGGGTGGAGGGCGGGCAGGGAGGGGCTGACCGCCAGTGACACCGCCCTTGTTGATGAAGACGTGTGTGTGCTCCTTGCGCAGCAGGTTGTCCACCGCCCCACTCTGCACACGCCACGGACCACGGTGGGAACACACATTCACAAAGCTCATGTTTGACAATGGTGACAAGTGCTTGGGCTACGAGGCGGAAGTAGTTGCGCTTGCCTTGGCCATGAGGCGGAAGAGGTTGTTGTAGCAGCCGAAGAAGACGTGCAGCCCCATCTCGATGTGGTTGCCGTCCTTGTCCTGAAAGCTCGCCACCTTGCCGCCTATGAACGGCCGCGCCTCGTAGATGTCCACCTGCTCGCACCCAACGCACGCACCGCGCACTCCGCCCGCGCACGCACATCCCCCATGCACGCACATCCCCCATGCACGCACATCCCCCATGCACGCACATCCCCCATGCACGCACATCCCCCATGCACGCACATCCCCCATGCACGCACATCCCCCATGCACGCACATCCCCCATGCACGCACATCCCCCATGCACGCACATCCCCCACGCACATCCGGTGCACGCCCGCGCATGGCATGTGGAAATTTCAATTAGCGTGAGAAACTGGTTTGAGCAACTTGAATGAGCAAGATTGCCACGCTACAGCGAGATCACACCACATGCGGCGTGCTTTCTTTTCAAGCGCCATTTCGTGCATTCGGTTCAGCCTTTCATTTGCGCCACATTCCAGCAGCTCACCTCGTGGCCCTGGTCGAGCAGCTCGGCGGCGGTGGACATGCCGGCCAGCCCCGCGCCCACGATGGCCACCTTGAGCTTCGGCCCCGTGTACTTCTCCGGCTCCGGCGGGAACAGCCCCTTGGGCGCTGCCGCGCACCGAGGGGGGGAACGGCGAGAGACAAGGGGAGACGGAGACAGGACTCAAAATGCAGCGAGACACCACAATTCGCGAGGGGCGTGCAGAACAGCAACGCCGCAGAGTTACAACGAATATCCCGTCCCCCCCTTTTTCAATGCACAGGTGAAGGTGGCGGTGCGACCTCTCAATGCGGCGAGCGGCAGGACGGCGGCAGCGCCGGTCACGAGGGCGTCCGCCATCATGGACTACGTCTCCGACATGAGCCGCGCCGGTACCATGTCACCCGCGCATAAATCGCGCGGATAGGATGTGAGCCGGGCAGGTAGAATATGAGGCGCGCGGATAGGATGGGAGCCGCGCATGTAGGATATAAGCCGCGCAGCTACGATCCGAACCGAGCTGGTACGGTATGAGCCGAACGGGTGTGGCATAAGCAGAACGCGGGGGAACTAGACAGCGGCGAATTGAGATAGCATACCCCAGCGGAAGCACGACAGGCGAGGGTGGCTGGAGCCGAAGGAATGAATCGGTGGTGTACCTGCCGTGCCAATAGGCGTCGACCTCCTAGAAGAGGCTGCGGCCAGCGAGTTTGCAGCGCGGCGGGTTGAGCGAGGGCAGCCATGGCGGACGAGGTAGCACTGGAGATGAAATGAAAGGCTGCTGCTTGCAAAAACTGCTGTGCTTGGGATGGATGTTGTGGTGTGTGCTTTGAGAGGTGCGTGGTAGAGGGGTGTGCACTGTGCAGTTCGTGAAAGTGCAGTTCCCGAGGGCGCAAGGACCAGGTAGTGAGGACGCGGTAAAAGTACTCGATCGGGGGGAGATCGATCCGGTCACCGCACTGAAACCCCGCGTTTGGCATAAGAAGGTACACAACCGTTTACAACCGCGGAAATAAACGAACCGGAGGCGATCGATTCGCGTCCTGAGGCTCAAGTCGAGAAACCTTTCCACGTCACCCTCAAGCATTGGAGCAACTCAGGATAACAAGAGCGTGGCTGTGAGCCGCTCACGTGGCACCTTGAGAGCCGCGACAATCAATTTCCCAGGTCCTTACCCAAACAAATTAACTGTACAAACGACTTCATCTACACACAGATCTCAAGCAATATATTCCAATTTCATTCTTATTTCTCTCACCGTAACTTCATACCACTCTACGAGGAGATGCTTTACAAATTCTTAGCATTGAACATTGTTCACCAGTGCTCTTCATGCACACGGACCATATTTAATGTGTTAACAGCTACTCATTTGTGCATCAAATATGCAAATTTGGACCATAACTATCATTCTAACGGATTGAACCTAAATGTATTCGGATGCACCAATCAGCAGCCCGTTTAAAAGAGCTGCACATATTTACAAGAAGTTGCAGCCCAAGCTCATACGAGCTCCCAGTCCCACTCTTCGTCTGAGAGTGGACCTTGAACTCGCTGCCCGCATGGAACAACGTCACCAACGCCTGTAGCTGCCTTTAGCTGCCGCTGGAGACGCAGCTGGGATATTAACTTGAGCAACAGCCCTAGGTTGTTGAGGCAGCTGCCTGTAGGGAAGAGGAGGGCCCGTGGGGGGAAGAGAGGCTGTGGTGGAGCCACAGGGGCGCACTTCTAGCCAGCGTGCCGTGAACTTGCATTGTGGCTCGCTGGGAGTGTGTTGGAAGGCTGTTGTGAACGCGAAGGCGCTCGGGGCAGCTGCAATATGGTGGGATGGAGGCGGGGTGTGGCTGCTCAACCCCGCAAAGACCTGCACATGTTATGCAACGCAGGCACAAACTGGTCACAATACAGTTGAATGCCCACAACAACCTGAAGGATCAATGCAAAACCCATAAGAAACAGAAATAGGTAGTGGTATGAGAACGAGCAAGTGCAGTCAAACGTTGACCATGTTCAGGTTAGGCCATCGAATGTAGAGGTTGTAGACGATAAAGCATGCTCCATGACTGACTGCATTCGAATGCTTCATGACTGCACTCGCATGCATGATGTCTGTATTTGCCTGGTTCATGACTGTATGCGCACCGCATGCAACAGATCAATGGGCTGCTGACACCTGACACACACCAGCACCTCCCCTCCCCACACCGGACCCCCCACATGCGCCTCAAACTCCCCCAGCCGCTGCTGCTGCTCCCGCAGCCCTGCAGTCACTGTTGGCAGCTGCAGAGGGAAGGGGGCATGCAAACAGAGGGATGGGAGGGAGACTCCAGGCACATAAACCGATCAGAAGTTCAAGAGCTGGTGCATGTGTGTGGGGCAAGAGGCGCTAGGCGAATATGATGCTCCCTGTGTGCTTGCAGTCTGGCAGGTTCTCAACACAGCAAGCAACACTCCCTCTCCTCTCAACCCCATACACCCACTCCCTCCTCCCTCGTACACACCTCGCCCTGTAGGGACGCGATGCCAGTCATCAGCGCTCGCTCCCTCTCCTCCATCCCCTCCTCCTCCTCGCCCCACCCCGCCCTGCCTCCACCCACTCCCCCCATCCTTGTGCCTCTCTCCCCCTTCCCCCCAGAGAGGGAGGCGAGCACGGAGGAGTGTAGTGCGAGGGCGTGGGAGTGCGAGAGGGCCACGGCGGCCTGCAGGCGCGGAGCCACAGTGGACGCCAGCTGCTGGCAGGCTGATGCCAGCTGCTGCTCCGCCCCCTGCTGCTGCTACCCCACCCGCTGCTGCCGCACCGCCCTGGTGGTGGACGAGCGGGTGGGATGGGGAGGTGAGGGCGGTGAGGGGGAGAGGGAGGTGGCGGGTGGTGGCGTTGGTGCGCACTGACTCATCTCACATGAGATCGCCCTCCCAACAGAGGCCGCCCCACAGCACATGCATGCAGGACGGATGCAAGTAGAGCAATGCGACCGGTGGTGCAGCAGGCATGGGGTTGAAGGTGGTGCAAGGAGGGGGCAATGTGGCTCACCGGTGCTCCTCCCAGGTGTTATGGCACCCTCTGCTTCTTCCACCTGATATGCGGCCATGGAAGCAGAGAGCACGATAGCATGGGGTCGTGCACCCAGGGAGTGCACCCACGGAGTGCACCCAGGGAGTACACCCAAGGAGTGCACCCAGGGAGTGCACCCAAGGAGTGCACCCATTGAGTGCACCCACGGAGTGTGGGCACGGGGGCCACTGCAAGGGCGCCGAGCTGGAGGCCGCCTGGCTGGAGGGCGCCGAGCAGCTAGATGCCGTCCTGGACGTCTGCACGGCGTCCTGGGCGTCTGGACGCCGACCTGGGAGTTTGGACGGTCTCCTGAGCACCTGGACGCTGGACTGGGGACGCCGGGCGTGTGTGGCCGGCTACGGACTGAGCTGGTCGGCCAGGCGTGGTTGCCCGGTCGACCGGGATACCCGGGCGACGTAGGCGAAGTTCGCTGGGGTGACTTCTGCGAGGCCTACCTCGAGGGTGGTATTCCGAGGTCGACGTGGCAGGTGGGCGCAGTCACTGGCGTGGAGTCTGCCAGGCGTCTGCGCTGTGCTCGTAACAAGGTGTGGAGCGCCAACCAGCTACACGCACCTGCGAAGCAGGTGCACCGTTGTCCTGTGGGTGCAACGCTGTGCAGCCGACTTGGCACATCATGGACTTGAAACGTTGGCGAACCGCTACTCTACAACGCTGGAGCGGTGCGAGCGCTGTTGCGATGGAGCGCGGTCGACCATGCTGCGCAGGAGGTCGACCAGCAGCCTAGCTAGCTCTGATGTAGTTTGTGATGCCAATGTTGTTGCAATCATTGTTGTGAACTTTTGCTAGTGGAACTCTTGCCAAATTCCCCCGTGAACCAGCAAGTAGTGCAAGCACGAGTAAACGACGAAGTGAACGAGCGCAGAGATCACACGAGCACCCGTGCCTAGCCCGTAGTCTAGCTCCCGTTGCCAAAGTTATCTCCGCAGGTCCTTGCCAGCTAAAACTATTTATTACTTCTCTGTTTGTGCCTGGATATTAGTCAATTGATTCAGGCGAATTCCTTCCTTGCTGGAATCTTTTTTCTGCGCGATTCGACGGTGAAATGCTACCCGAGTCAACGCTAGCACTCCAACGCTAGGCAAACGCTGTCCGAGCCATAACTTCGTAGTGGCAGAACTTTTTGTGAGGCAACTTGGCTTATTTTAAAGCTATTGGAACGAGCTTCGATATAGAGAATTCTCAACCTAATCCGATCGACGTTCTGCACGATACGCTGCGCAACGTACAAGGTACTCTTGTTATTTGGCTAAGTTCTTCTTGACTCCTCTCTCTACAAACTCGGACCCGAGGATAGGGGCTGGTCTTGTACCAGGCACCCAGGGACCCTTGGAGGTGACCCCGAGGAGAGGTTTTAAGTTTAATTAAGTCTTTATAACCTTACTTTATTAGGCCCTTACACCAACAGATAAGTAACGCACTTACTATTGGTACCATCCATACGGGTAAGTAACACACTTACTCTTGGTAACATCCATACTGGTAAAAAACGCACATATTATTGGTACCATCCATACGGTTAAGTAACACACTTACTCTTGGTACCATCCATTCGGGTTTGTAACGCACTTACAAATAGTACCATCCATATGGGTAAATAACGCACTTACTCTTGGTAACATCCATACGGGTAAGTAACGCACATATTCTTGGTACCATTCATACGAGTAAGTAACACACTTACTCTTGGTACCATCCATTCGGGTTTGTAACGCACTTACTAATGGTACCATCCATACGGGTAAATAACGCTCTTAATAATGGTACAACCCACACGGATATGTAACGCACTTACTCTTGGTACCATGCATACGGGTGAATAACCCACTTACTTTTGGCACCATCCATACGAGTAAGTAAAGCACGTACTCTTGGTACCATCCATACGGGTAAGAAACTCACTTTCTCTTGTACCATCCATATGGGTAAGTAACACACTTAGTCTTGCTACTATCCATACGGATAAGTAACGCACTTATTCTTGGTACCATCCGTACGGATAAATAACGCACCTACTATTGGTTATCCGTTACGGGTAAATAACCCATTTACTTTTGGCACCATCCGTACAGGTGGGTAACGCACGTACTCTTGGTACCATCCATACGGGTTGAAAACGCACTTACTCTTGGTACCATCCATACAGGTAAGTAACACACCTACTCTTGGTACCATCCATATGGGTAAGTAACACACTTACTATTGGTAACATCCATACGGGTAAGTAACGCACTTACTCTTGGCACCATCCCTATGGGAAAGTAACACACTTACTCTTGGTACCAGTAAGTAACGCACATATTACTGGTAACGTCCATACGTTTAAAACCCGGGGGCCAAGAAGGCCAAAAGTGGTTCATCCTTCCTAGTGATGGTTGGATGTCCCAAAACGCCTGTAATTATTCCCGAGTTTTGAGCCCTCGACCAACATTTTGGATACTCCTATTGGTTCGCCGACCAATATCGTTTTCACTCCCAACCAACCTTCCTAAGGTTGAACTTCTTGGCCCCCGGATTTTAAGTAACGCACTTACTCTTGGTACTATCCATACGGGTAAATAACGCACTTACTCTAGGTACCATCCATACGGGGAACTGACGCACTTACTCTTAAAACCATCCGTATTGGTTAGTAACGCACTTACTCTTGGTAACATCCATACGGATAAGTAACGCACTTACTCTTGGTACCATCCATACGGGTAAGTAACACACTTACTCACGGCGCCATCCTTACGGGTAAGTAACACACTTACTATTGGTACCATCCTTACGGGTAAATAACGCACATACTCTTGGTACCATCCATACAGGTAAGTAACACACCTACTCTTGGTACCATCCATATGGGTAAGTAACACACTTACTATTGGTAACATCCATACGGGTAAGTAACGCACTTACTCTTGGCACCATCCCTATGGGAAAGTAACACACTTACTCTTGGTACCAGTAAGTAACGCACATATTACTGGTAACGTCCATACGTTTAAAACCCGGGGGCCAAGAAGGCCAAAAGTGGTTCATCCTTCCTAGTGATGGTTGGATGTCCCAAAACGCCTGTAATTATTCCCGGGTTTTGAGCCCTCGACCAACATTTTGGATACTCCTATTGGTTCGCCGACCAATATCGTTTTCACTCCCAACCAACCTTCCTAAGGTTGAACTTCTTGGCCCCCGGATTTTAAGTAACGCACTTACTCTTGGTACTATCCATACGGGTAAATAACGCACTTACTCTTGGTACCATCCATACGGGTAACTGACGCACTTACTCTTAAAACCATCCGTATTGGTTAGTAACGCACTTACTCTTGGTAACATCCATACGGATAAGTAACGCACTTACTCTTGGTACCATCCATACGGGTAAGTAACACACTTACTCACGGCGCCATCCTTACGGGTAAGTAACACACTTACTATTGGTACCATCCTTACGGGTAAATAACGCACTTACTCTTGGTACCATCCTTACGGGTAAGTTACATACTTACTCTTGGTACTATCCATACAGATAAGTAACGCCTTACTCTTGGTACCATCCATATGGGTAAGTATGCACTTATTATTGGTAACATCCATACGTGTAAGTAACGCACTTACTCTTGGTACCATCCTTACAGGTAAGTAACACACTTACTCTTGGTACCATCCATACGGTAAGTAACACACTTACTCTTGGTACCATCCATACGGGTAAGTAACGCACATACTCTTGGTACCATCCATACGGGTAAGTAACACACTGACTCTTGGTACCATCTATACGGGTTGGTAACGCACTTAATCTTAGTACCATCCATACGGGTAAGTAACGTACTTACTTTTGGTACGATCCATATGGGTAAATAACGCACTTACTCTTGGTAACATCCATACGAGTAAGTAACGCACTTACTCTTCGTACCATCTATACGGGTAAGTAACGCTCTTACTCTTGGTACCATCCATACGGGTAAGTAACACACTTACTCTTGGGACCATCCATACGGATAAGTAACACATTTACTCTTGGTACCATCCATACGGTAAGTAGCACACTTACTTATGGTACCATCTATATGGGTTAGTAACGCACTTACTCTTAGTACCATCCATACGGGTAAATAACCCACTTACATTTGGCACCATCCGTACGTCTAAGTAACGCACTTACTCTTGGTACCATCCACATGGGTAAGTAACGCACATACTCTTGGTACCATCCATACGGATAAGTAACGCACTTACTCTTGGTACCATCCATATGGATAAGTAACGCACTTACTCTTGGTACCATCCATACGGGTAAGTAACGCACTTACTCTTGGTACCATCCATATGGGTAAGTAGCGCACTTACTCTTGGGACCATCCATACGCGTAAGTAACACATTTACTCTTGATAGCATCTATACGGGTAAGTAGCGCACTTACTTATGGTACCATCCATATGGGTTAGTAACGCACTTACTCTTCGTACCATCCATACGGGTAAATAACCCACTTACTTTTGGCACCATCCGTATGGGTAAGTAACACACTTACTCTAGGTACCATCCATATGGGTAAGTAACGCACTTACTCTTGGTACCATCCATACGGGGAAGTAACGCACTTACTATTGGTACCATCCATATGGGTAAGTAACGCACTTACTCTTGGTACCATCCATATGCGTAAGTAACGCACTTACTATTTTTACCATCCATATGGGTATGTAACGCACACTCTTGGTACCGTCCATACGGGTAAGTAACGCACTTACTCTTACTACTATCCATATAGGTTAGTAACGTACTTACTCTTGGTACCATCCATACGGGTAAGTAACACACCAACTCTTGGTAACATCCATATGGGTAAATAATGCACTTACTCGTGGTACCATCCATTCGGGTAAGCCAACAGGTGGGAGGTTGGTAAACAACCTCAGGTTCTGTTTTTCCAACCTGGGATAACACCAACCAGGTTCAGGTTATGAAAACAGAACCTATTTCGTCCTAGTGCAACCAGACAAAAGCTGGTTCCGCTGGTTTCCCCTGGCCCTGTAGCATGCAGATATAGACAAACAACATCCAACCTTCACCTAATTGTACCCCTATAGTGCCTTCCCTGCTACACTATAGTTAACCAAACAAAACAGTGCAATTTC